CACACATAAAATGGTGAAAGTGTACACCTTGGCCAATGTCAATAGCTCTCACTCAATGGCTAATATTCAACATGTGTTTTACAAAGATCTTATCTTTGTTTTGTTGACAAACATCTGATCAGCTTCTTGGCTATAAGGAATGTGATGCATTGCTTCTCATTTGACCCTGTGCTGGTGCCAATATTAATTAATTATAAGAGGGGTTGATTGATGAATACAAAAATACAGTTATATAGTAGAAATAAGATCTAGTGTTTGGTAGCACAACAGGGCGACTACAGTTAATAATTGTACATTTCAAAATAACTAGATGAGTGTTTCTGGAATGTCCTCAACACAAATTATAAATGTTTGAGGTGATGGATATCCCAACTACCCTAATTTGACCATTACACACCTTGTGCTTTTATCAAAATATCACATGTATTCTGTAAATATGTACGACTAGTATGTACCTGTAACAATTGAAAATAAAATAAACTTTATTAACATGAGGAGTCACTCAATCATGTGGGAATTTGCCAGCTCAGCACCTGTCATAAATGTGTGTAATATAGTTGCTGTCTTGGCATCCATTTTTAACTTTGACATAAGTTATCTGCAACCTAGTCATAACCCGTCACCATTGGCCTAGTGAAAACTTCCCCTCCCTTTGTGGAACTGTTGACCACACAAAACCTAATTGTCGACACCAGAGTCATACAAGCAAGTTCCCACCCCCAATTTTTCAGATGTTTTATTGAAACTAGCTAAGCCACAATCCCTTCGGGAAGGCCTAAGGGATAACCATGGACCTTAAAAAGGACAAAGTCCACAGGTCCTCTCTCTGTCTAGCTCCCCAACTGCTCGTTGAGCTCCCTGTGACCTCCAGACTTACCATGGGCCTCCTGTCAGCACCCCTAATTCTCTGGGCCCTGTGAGTAATAATTTCTTGCTTCATGCATTTTGGTTTCACCTCCTCATTGTGCCTCACTTGACCAACACACTCCAATCTAACTTTCCCCTGGTCAGGTCTCTTCTAGAGAGTGGCTATCTTGGCTGATGGCCACATTTGAGAGAGGCCTTAAGGCCCAATGAGAAAGAAACTATAACAATAGATGTCACTTAAACATCTATGTGTCTTTAAATATCATATTTGTAAACTATCTAAGGTGATCTGTGGATTATTTTCCTCTGCAAGCTTCTTGGATTTTTGGTACCAACAATAAGTACTGAGCACTAAAGGGTATGTAAGAGAGAGCTTGTGAACAAATGGTGCATTTCTTTGGCAAGATTCTATAACCATATACTAATGATTTGGATATTATTTTACACTGAGCATGCTTTTCCTCACTAATAGCACACAGAACTGGCTAGGTAATTCAGTTTGCCAGTACCTTTGGAAATAGCAATTTTTAACACGTGGAACCAGCTGTACCAGAATCACCTGCTAGACTGGTGAAAAGCCCTCTTCACTCTGCATCTCCCTACCCCCACCCCTGCACCAGACACAACATACAAGAGTCTCTTGAAGTGGGACCAAGGAATCTTCATGTTTAACAAGCTCCCTGGATAATTCTTACTCAGAGTGAAGGTTGAAAACTGGGCTTAAGATATAAAACGATGTGATTACTTGATAGTAACCTTTCAATATCACAACCCTTTGCCTTCAAACTGTTAGGGACACTTTGTCAAAATGTAGTCTTTAAGAAAAATCTCATTAATATGATCATTCTAAAAATAAAATACCTTTCAAAGCATTCAGATCAGCATTATGGATACAATTTCATTGCAGATAACTAAAGAGGAAAAACACAGGGAAAAAAAGTTTCAGTTGTTCATAGGCTCTGCTTCCTGACTATTTCAGAGCACATACTGAAGCAGGCAGCTTCTCTGTATCAGTACTCCAGGTGTACTTCTCAGGGACAAGGGGTTCCTTGTAGGTCTTCACCCTTCCTGTCAGGATGCTCTCCCTATATTGCAGTCATCACAGTGAGCCTTGCAACTTAGTGTCATGCACTTGCAATGATCATGCTACAGTAATTTCTCATCTGGGTAACTGCTAGGTTTTCCCTACTTGAGTAACTGCTCACTTTCAGTGAATGATGGTCAGTTTTCGTTGTTGTTTTTTCTTGTTATATTTGTTCTGAATATACTTATTGAAATGTAGTTTTATGTCTCTTAAATCTTTTGCATGCTTTTGCACTTCATTGTTTTGCCTCAACATACTTCAACAAGATTTTTTGCCTCAATGCATTTTTCTTATAATTCATTTTTATTAATACCTATGTGACGGATTTTAAAAATTATTTCTTCACCAAATATTATATAGAGAAAAGCACTGCCCCGTACCATACTTCTTCAAACAAATTCAGATGAAACACAGCTCTAGTGTTTTAGTGTTGTCTCACCTGCAGAAGAGTAGAGGGGTTGTATTAGATTATCCATGAGATTCCCCAGCTCTGTGATTGTGGATATAGTTATAGCTCATTTTGCTTACAACTGGATCATGCACTTTGTGAATTATCCATAACAAACTTTTATATGTACAGCTGACTTTCTTCTGCCTCTCATCATAGCTTTGAACCACTTCTCCTACTGTGAGACTGTGTGGGTTTAAAGAATAAAGAGCATTTTAATAATAGCCCAATCAAAATGTAATTAGGAAAAGGTAATTTGGCACCAAAAATATTACATAATACCCCATCAAAGATAAATTCCAGATATTTCTTATCATCTGCTATTTTAGATTACCATTTTCCCCCTCTACTAGTACAGGTATAATTCTTTCATCTTGGCTTTTTTAATGTACCAAAGACTAAACAGAACCGTTAGCTGCAAATCTACTTCTGATACTTGTCAACGTCTCTCGCTTTCTGTTTCATATCAGCTATAGCAAATTCTCTTTTACATTTTTACTGATGACCACATCATATCTCTGTTAACATGTACCGCATAAGCAGGTTTTCTTTAAAAAATGTATTTAACCCAGCAGCAACTTAAAAAGCAAAGTATTTTAAATTAAGACATTATATTCCTTTTTCAGAGAACATGCAGACAAAACAAGTCTAAAGGGTGATCCAATTAAATAAATTTCTATCTCTGGGGGCTAGAACCTCTGAGTTGGTTCTCAAAGTCTGCATGTTTCATATTCAGTACCTAACAAGATATTCCTCACTGTAAGCTTAAAGCAAGCAATGACATCACAATATGCATTACTCTGAGTTGTTTTCAAAACGTGCTGACCCTCTGAAAGTTTCCAAACGGCTTCTTTGTGCGCTGTTACAGACCATCTGGCTAGCTGTAGATAAACAAGTTTCAACATATGGGCCATAGCACATACATGGCTCTGCTTCACTAGTGCAGAAAATTAAGAAAAGGACACTCTCATGATATGAGTAGCTAACTCCTATAAGAGAAGCAGGACCATGTAGTGGAGGGCCTGACCTAAGGGGCACACAGAATAGCTTAATTCCATTTCCCTCTCTTCCATTCACTGGGCATGTTGCTGGATCACGGCAAGTCTTCTCTGTTTCCTCATAGAAACATTTTTTTAAAGGTGCCAGTGAACTCTTGCCTTTCTCTCCTTCCCTCTATCCTTCTCATTAAGATATATCCATGATGGGCCTACCATATATGTGTTCCCAGCATGGTGCTAGGTAATGGGCATATTGTTGAGAAAAACAGATGTGGTCCCTACCCTTGAAGATTTACTGGACAATAATGAAGACATACATCAAATAAATGAGATCAGGAAGAATATCGCAAACCAAGAGGGAAAACGTGTGATATCAGAAGGAGCATGAACAACTTTTCAAGACTCCAATATTTAGAAACATTTATAGTCATTAAATTGAAAACTCAATTGACAATGAAAATGCTGAAAGGGAAATTCCCATTATCTCTACATGATAAATCAGACACTTATTATATTAGCATAAACTATTTGAAAAAATTGCCTGCATTTTCCATTCATATTTTTGACCCACTGCCTGCAATCAATGAACCTAATAAAACTACATGAAAATATGATCATCAAATACATGCACAAGCATATCAAGCCCATGACAACATAACCAATGCTTTCAGTTATGAAACAGTTGCTAGAAAACCTAGGAACTCTGAGTGTCTCCTGTTTAATATTTACAGAATAAAACTAAATGCTAAGGCAACAGTGACTCAGTTATCTCTTACAAGTAAGTGATTTACTTCTCAAGCATGGTTTCCCAGTACTCAGCCTTGCCAGAAAATGACAGCTGATACCCTAGAGTGAGAAGAGGAATAGTCCTTCTTGCTTGAACAGTCATTATATACAAAATGTTCATTTCAATGATTTTCCCAGTTCTTAGTTAAAACAAAAGCTGTGTCTTTGACACAAATTATGTCATATGTGAAACTGTATTAATGATTTATTTTTCTCATCCCTTTGCCATTTCTACCTTTGCCTTTCATTTGCTGCCATATATTTAAAGTACAGTATACACATGAAGCTCAGCCCTTGTAGCCAGAATGAAGCAGAGAGGTCAACAGTCAGGCATTCAAGTCAGGCAGGATAAAGAGCCAATTTGAATCACGAAGGTCTTCATAAAAAATTAAACAACACATCTGAAAACTTGAATCAATCCAACTAACCATAGTGCCCCGTCTTGCACTACAGGAAATAAAAAGTCACTCCCTAAAACCTGCTATAGCACTTACTATACTACATTGTGACAAACCGAGACATGTTTGACATCTACCTGATGGCAAACTCTTAAAAGCAAGGACTGTGCCATACCCATCTTTGTCCCCTCGATGCCAGCAATGCCGAGTGTGCCAGGAGCCCAAACAATGCTCATTAATCAGATCAAGTAATGAACAGGCATTGTTTTATAAAAATAAAGTCACTAAGGCAATGAATCCTCACAGTGAAATGTAATTGAATCCAGAGCTGTCTTAGCTACCTGTTAGGATTTTAGCAAACATATAAAGTGTTTGCCCTTCAGTCATTCTACAGACAGCAACATGTATGACATAAGACCTTTAATTAAAAATTTTTACTTACATTGCTTTATTTCAGCTACAAATAAACTTTATTTGATGTAATGTAATAAAACATTTTCAAGTTTAACAATATGTATCTGACCATAAATAATCATTTAAATTATGAATATAATATATACGGTCACTTTAGCAAATTTGCGGTTCAGGAATTTATACAAGCTTTGTCTGAAAGGACAGTGCCCTCCTCCCCTTTCAGGAAAGGCAACTCTTCCCCATGTCTGGTAAGAAGCAATGTCAATGGGAGTTAGAAGAAGTCCATAACCCATGTCGGAATTCCACTTTATCCTGTGACAGGACAGCTTGCTTTATTGTAGGAAAATAATATTATCTTTCAGTTCTCTCTTATCAAATAAAGAATTGCATTCATTTTTCCCCTTGTAGGTACAGGTACTCTTCTATTCTCATCTGCTGTCTTTCTGTCTCCTTAGCTCTTAATTGCTACATAGTGCCATTTAAAAAATATATATCCACAAAGAGACCTTTTCTGTTTCCTTACCTGCCCTTCATGTCTACCATTTTTTGGTGGGTAGGGGTGGGAATCAGAGGACGGAATTGCTTAGGCACACATTTGATTTAAGATACAGAGAACACAAAAACAAATTCTCTAGAAGGAACAGACTGGTGTTCTGAAGCATTTCCCAAGAGTGGTCCAGGTGACCTTGCTTCACACAATTTGGTTTAATACAATGCAGCTCAACAAGAATGAACATGTTTATGCCCCATCTCCAGAAGCATCACAACATTTCATGGAAAACCCATCATTCCCACACTTCTTCCACATAACATACAGTTATGGGCCAGCCCATGGGTGGGCCCACTGCAGCCTGGTAGAAAATGAGAGTCAAAAGCATGCCAATAATCATGTTAATTACAATGCAGTTGGGTACCACTTGAGCTTCACTGCGATAAAAATCCTCACAGAAGGCATCACCCTCACCCCTCAAGACCCTTCAGAGCACAACAAAAAGCTTTGCTCAAGTTATATGCTTCTCTCCAACCTGAGACCTGTTCCTGAGTTATACCATAATAAGTGAGTTAACAAAGAAAGTACATTGGTAGGGAAATCACAGAGACCCTGCAGAAAAGCCAAACTATTTGACAGAAGCTTGAAACAAACACTGCTCTGGGAAATCATTTGTATTAGCTGATGACTGGATTCTGTTTTCTAACATAGACATGCAACATATTCAACACTACACTCACTGCAGTTTGCTTGGAAAAGCCTTCTGTCAAACAACAAAATACATTCTGTCTCAGGAATGATTCCTGTATATTCACCACAACACCTAGACTCAGAAGCATGGGAAGTGTGCATTGGAACTTTCTCCCACTTGCATGGATTTGGACATATGCAAAGCACCAGAAACTGCTTCCTTTGTGGAACTCAGTTCTGTCGGTGTGCTTACTGCTGAGATGATCTGCTATCTTAAACTGAGAACACACAACAGCACTGATCCACAGAAAAAAGGAGAAGTCACCATCTCCCTTGTAAGGTAATGTGTACAACAGATCACCCTGTTTGTCACGTTTTAGACATCCCAAGAAAGGAGAGAAGTCGTATTCCATTCTGCAATCTCAGCAAATGACTTCCTTCTGTTTCCATCTCTAATTTGCCTTGTTTATTTCATCTCCATTGTTCTGCTTTCGATCATGAATCATGACCTTTTTTTCTACAGTAGTCAGCGTTTTGTCTAAAAAAAAAGAGAGAGAGAAATAAGAAAATGATTTAGCAGAACCGTAAATGTGAGTTTTCATTTTGTGGTGGGTGGACTTAATTTTTACAGCAGTCAGTAATTTGAATCATTTGTGGCTTCTAATGAATTATGAGTATCCTTAAAGGGAAACAAAAAGTGCTGTGACTCTTCTGGTAGGTTTCGTAACTCCCACAAGTTGCCAAGGCTTTAATATATTTGCAAATCAGCCCCAAATAACCCATTTAGAAATTTACCTTTTTAATATAGCTATAGCCAAAAATGACTTTGCTTTCAAAAATCCTTGCAAAATACTATTGCACTTGCCCTACTTGAAAAGAATAATGACTAAATAATGATTACCAACGAGAAGTGTTCTCTCCCTCAAACCTAGGAAGGTGTGTTATTGTAAGGTAAGTGTGCAGGGACCAAGAAACTTCACTTCTCTCCCTCGTTCCTAGATGCACAGAAGTGGTATTGGTGATAGAGAAGTGTCAGCCAATGGCTGAGAAAAGTCCCTTTCTCCTGGTGTAAAGCCACTCCCCTAACTCTGCACCTCCACCGGCCTTGACTTACCACACTACATCATGTGCTTAAGAGCTAGGTCTATGAGGACCCAGAGCCTGGGACTGTGCAACCAATCTCAGCCTACCCACACCATCTAAAGCACTCCCTACCCTGCCATTTGGCTATTTTGCCTGCAGTCCTGCTCTTCCTTCTTTGAGGTCCCCCTCTCAGCCCAGCCCTTCAGATGGGTGATCAATAGATGGATTTTGCTGGAGACATGGTTTCTGGCTTTTCCCCTCAGCCTCACACAATAACACTTGAGGACAAGTGCTGCACTTCAGCCCAGACCCAGCACTATAGGCTCCTAGGTATCTGAAGAGGGGACTGGCAACCATCTGTGCTCCACAGACACGTTCCTAGCCCAGGGCCTCTGTCTCTTCTCAGCACAGGAGAGACCACACTTTCTCCAGCTCGGCACTGCTCTGCTCACATAGTTCATGTTCTGAATTCCTCTAGGCCACAGCACTATCTCCAAAGTCTCCCTTTCCTTGCTACCCACCTGCTAACCAATTGTGATGGTCTGGAGATTGTAGCATCCACACAGACACCTGTGGCCTCTTCCCTAGTCTCAAGAGCACCCTCCTTGTGCAGGCCCTCCTGACATGAGACCTCACTCTTGCATCAGTCTTCTAACCCATATCCCTTCTCCTATTGTGAAGCCTTCCATACATCATTTATACTGCATCCCTAGTCTCACTCCTGCTCAAAAGCCTTCATCTCCTTCCCTCACCCCTGCCCACTTAGCCCTCCATGCTGACCATAGACTACCCAGCTTCCCAGTACTGCTGAAGACATGCCCCAAACTTCTTGTCCACCTCTATCAACATCTGGGCCCCTCGGTCCATGCTGTCCCCTCTGCCTTGAGCAGCCACCACTCCACTTCCACCCCTACTATGTCTTCTTGTTAAAATCCTACTCTTTCTTCAAGACCCACCTCAAATATCCCCCTGTTCTTGATTTCTGCCATGGATATTTTCTTTCTAAGAATGCCCCTCAAGACTTATTTTTCTTCTGTACTCCTCTGTACTGCTTGATTTTATATTGTGCTATACGAATTTATTATCTACTAATAGAACAAAAATATATAAATATTAGACAAAGCAAGGGAGGGAAATCACTTGCCTTCCTTAAAGAAACATTGCAAAGTTAAAATGTAGGCAATTGCGAAGCATGAAGCAAATAAGCTATTATTACTAATTGATGATTTAGTAAAAATAAAATGATGATTTAATGAAAATAAATCATCTATGGAGAAGAAAAGTCCATGAAATAGCAAACTTTTTGTTTGTTTCTGCCTTTAAGGCAGCATCCGAACACAGACACCCAGGGTTTCAGAGGCTTTCATGCTTCTTCCCAATTTTCTCTGGGATCTATTTTACTTTATTTTATTTTTAATTACTGGTTTCCACAAGGAAAGAAAGCACCTTTCAGGATGCTTCACGACAAACCCTGGAGCACTGTATTGGCAGAATTCATGGCAGAAACCCAAGGTTACTCTGCTACAAGTCACCACTAGGACCCCTGCAATCCACAGGAATTATAAGAGGCCCTTTGAAGACAATGACAATACAATCACCAGGAAAAAAGGGAGCAGGAAAAGAAGAGCTACTTTAAAACAATTTCATGACATTCTTTTATATGGAAGTATTTAGAAAGTGCCGTTCAATGTTATTCATAAATGACATCAACAAAATTCATGAAAACAGGATACTTAAAAGCAATTGATGACAATTCAAAGCAAATCCATAAGTAATCAAATTTAAAAAGAAAAAAGAATCCTTGATTATATTTCATTATCACATTTGGTTTTATATTACCAATCTGTGAATACTTGTGAAAAGGATTAAAATTGATAGCAGTAAATTAAAATTACCAGTGCAAAAGTATTCACAACTTTTCCCCCATCTATTCACTTCATTACCCCAGGGAAAATTTTCAAGTGCCTGCTGAACTCCTGAGGTTCTGGTTATGCTGATCAAGAAAATGGGGAAAAATAGGTAAATATTTGGGAGTAGGAACACAGTCTCACAGGTTTACACAGGAAAGAAAGAAACTATTATGTAGGAGAACACGTAGAGCCAAGAAAGCAGAACAGGGCGAGAAGGTAAGAGAGACTAGAAGCCCAGAAGCTAATGGGAGGAAAAGAGCTGGAGAAAGCTCAGAGTCCGGAGGAGCCCAGAGTCTGTAGGGTGACCACAAGATGAGTGAGAGCTAGAGAAAGGCAAGGGGAGCAAAGGGTTCCTATTACAAGTCTCCTACTAGCCACCACCACCTCTACAGCCACCCCAGCATACTAGATTAAAAGCTTCCAGGAACTACAACTGTCATTTACTCACCTTTCTACCCTACCCATGCCTAGTTCCATACCTTGTACATAGCAGACCCTCAAATGTTTCTGGGAAAAACTAGCCAATTTTCTGGGAAAAACAACATCCATTTTTTACCTTCTGAGTTACGCACACAGTGCTACTGCATCAGTCTTGACCATTGTGATGAATCCATTCCCCTACCTGCAGATTCACTGATGGCTTACTATATTTACACCAGAGTGTCACAACTTTAGCAATAAGGACTGGGTACTTCTTTGTTGGAGCAGGGAGGGGGCAGGGGCGCTGGCCTGTATACTGTAAAATCCTTAACAGCAGCCCTGGCCTCTACCCAGTAGATGCCAGAAGCGTCCCACCCCCACTTGTGACAACCAAAAATGCCTCTAGAAAATGCCAAATGTTTCCAAAGAGTTGGGGTGGGATGCAAAATTACTCCTGATTAAGAACCATTTGTCAATACTAAAAGTCCAAATTATTGGAGCTGGCATAGAAGATCCTTTACAATTTCATCTCAATCTACTTTTCTGCTTTGATCTCCAACAGTTCCTGCACCCAAATGCTTAGTTTCAGCCAGGTGGTCCTTTGCATAAGCTCCCACATTGGTGCCTTTACAAAAAAAGTCCTCTTCACCTGGAATAACATTTCTGCTCTCCTTTCACTATAAATGCTTTGACCAACTTAATAGACATTCTTGAGTTTATATCCTTCAGGAAGTCTTCTCTGATCAGGGTTAGTATAAGCTCTGGGTTATTTTCCTTTCCTTTGAATCCTATAGCTTTTCCTGTCTCCACCTTTGCTTATTACAGAAAGGTTGCATGTGTGTATGTCTTAGCCTAGCCAGGCTGCTATAACAAAATACCATAAACTGGTAGCTTATAAACAACAGAGATTTATTTCTTAGAGTTCAAGAGGCTGAGAAATCCAAGATTAAGCCACCAGCAGATCCCACGTCTGGTGAGGGCTCGCTGTCTGCTTCATAGAAGGTAACTTCTAACTGCGTCCTCACATGGTAGAAGATGTGAACAAGCTCCCTCAGGCCTCTTTTATAAAGGCAATAATCCCATTTATGAGGGCCCTGCCCTCATGACCTAATTACCTCCTAAAGAATCCACATTTTCATACTATTGCATTGGGAATTTGGTTTCAAAATACGAATTTGCAGGAGACACAAATATTCGGGCCATAGCAACATATGTCTGTTTGTGTAAGGTATATCCAACAAAAATATATGCACAAGGACATGAGAGATATCATCTGTTTTCTGTATTTTCCTCAATGCATGGCAGCCACATCAGAAATTTCCTAAAGCTGATGGATGTTTTTAGGCTAATCATCCTTAATGAAGTGGATATTCTGTAATTATAAATTCAAACTGAGAGAAATGTAAAGAGGATACAGCAGACTATGGCTTGTGGGCCAAATACAACTGGCAGCCTCTTTTTGTAAATAAAGTTTTATTGGTACACAGGCCTATCCGTTTACTTATGTCAGTGACAAATTACTCATCAGTGAGAAGAGTAGTTTCAATAGGGACCATATGGCTAGCAAAGTTTACAATATTTACCACTTGGCCCTTCACAGTTAAAGTTTGCTGACCTCTGTGTTAAGCTAACAGGAAAACAACACCCAAGCCTCCAGACCAGCTAAAGATACAAAGGCAAATATCTTTAGACTCTACGTTAGCTGATTTATTTTTATAAAAGGCACAGTAGCATAGAAGTTAAAAGCACTTTTGAACACAGATGTCCTGGGCTTAAATCCAGCTCTATCACTCTCTGTATGACTGTGGGGGAAATTATTATACTTCTCCAAGCCCTTGTTTTGTTATTTTCAGAATGGAAAAGAAGAAAACTAACGTATCATAAACTTTTGAGGATTAATTGATCAAATTCACATAAAGTGCTCAGCAAAGTGCCTGAGAGTGAATCCTCAGCAAACACAAGCTATTATTTTAAATTGGAAAACCTTTTTGTGTTACATTTTAAAGATTACCATTTTATGATCTATCTGAATTATCTATGAATTATTAACTAAAATAATCAATAAAATTATTCTCAAGTTCTTTGACCCTATAGGATGCATGCAAATATAGCAGCGTTTCCTTGCTCATGACATTATCTGTTCTTTCCTAGTTTATAAACTGGCTGCTTAACTGGATCCCCTGCCACCCATCTTTCCCTTGTCTGCCCTCCTCACTATTGCCAGAGAGACCTCCCCATGTTACTACTGAGAACTAGAACCAACACGCTTTCCTTTTCCTGTGCTAAACAATGCTGGAGCCAGGCAAAATAGCCTAGCTATTTGTTCTAGGAAATAGTCACTTTCAGAAGATAAGACTATATGCCAACAAAAATAGCCTACTTATCAAAACTAATAGTTTGCTCATTAGCACTTACTTCACAGCCCTCATCTAGTTGTACTTACCAGTCTAAAGCTGTTATGTCATAAACTCTGCCTAATCTTCACCAGTTCCCCAACTTCAAATCACCCAGCCCAAGCCCCAAAACTCTATCAATATCTTTGCCTTATTTCCTTCATCTGAGAAACTACTAAGACTGTCTAGGAGTGGATACCACTCATAGTGCAGTAAGTCTAATAAACTTTACTTACTTAGTGTAACAAGTCATTCTCATTGTCTTCTTAGAGAGCTTACAGCTAGTCTCCAGCTCAAAAATATTCTGAGACTCTTCACTGCCTATATACTGAAGTCACTTGAGAAGTATTATGGCATAACATTCCATAGAAGCATCGGAGTGATTCATATTACAGCTACCACTCAGTTACTTTATGCTCCTGAGCCGTAAGTTGTTCTTCTGAAAAGTGGGGATGCCAGAAGCACCTATTTTGCAGGTAGCATGCTGCATAGCATGTAGCAGGTGTTCAATAATGGTTAGCAGTTATTACTTTTATTTATCATCTATTATGCGTCAAGTACTGTACTAGATTCTGCAGAAAGAAATCTGATTAAGACATAGTTCCTTCTCTGAAGGAATTCAGAATCTGGTAGGAAAATCCTAATAGTAAATTCAATGAACTCTTACAGGCATAGTAAGATCTCTGGGTTTGCTCATAGTACATGTTCTAGAACTTAAAATTACATTATTTTTTAATGCTACTTTTTATATTGTGAATAATCTCATGTGTACAAAAGAGTATATAGAAGTAAACGCTGAGTGAAGCTACACTCAGCTTAAGAATTAGCATAACTGTAGTCTTCCAACTTTCAGTTGTAAGATAAAGGCAGTCCAGTATAAGAAAAATGAGTAGCACTGGGATTCAGATGATGTGGGATCTAGACTCAGTTGTGACACTAGCTAAGTGTGAGACATCTCACTTTTCAACTCCCAGTTAGCTCTTCTGTTGAATGACAGGGGTGGACAAGATGACTGGGAAGGTCCCTCTCTGCTAGAGTGGTCCCTGGTTCTCTAGTCTGCTCCTTCCCGCCAGGCTGTGAAGATGGACACCTCCAACATTAATCTGCTCACTGTCTCAACAGAACCTTCCAATTTTTCATTCCAAGTTCATTTTTCCCCTGACTTTCAAATGTGAAGAAATCTCCTCTACCTCACATTTAAAACAGAGTCTTCATCTGACATGTTGACACCTCTAACTAATATACTATCTCTTTCCTTCTTTACAATGTCAATTTTTTAACACGTGGGTCACTTCTGAAATTTCCATTTCTCTATCACCATCAGATCCTTTTTCAGATCCCAAGACCCTATGGTAATTGCTTCCTTGAAAGTCATTAAGACTTCTTAGACCAATTCTTGGTTCTCTCCTGCCAAGATGGCCAGGAACATTTCCTAAACGGTCCTGTGGCTCTTTTCCTTTTCTTTTTTAGAGGCAGGTCTTGCTCTGTCAACCAGGTTGGAGTGCAATGGCATGATCACAGCTCACTGCATAATCCAACCCTGGGCTCAAGCTATCCTCCCGCCTCGGCCTCCCAAGAGGCTAGGATTACAGAGGCGTTCTACCATGTCCGGTTCTTGAGACCCACACTAACCACTCTTCTTTTTCCTGGGCTGCCTCCTTTCAGCCCAGGTGAATGTAACGGCATACTAGAGAGATCATTGTGCCTCCTACCTCAAAAGAAGAATTTATCGGTGAAGGTTGAAGTCATCAAAAAAGTTTTACTAGATAGAAGAATAATAACAACTAAAATAATAGTGTTACACAAATTCAGATGTAAGGACATAATTTGGATGTCATTTATGGAGAAAGAATGGAAAATATCACCTCTTTGTTGTCAATCACATCAATTGCAATTCTTCAGCAAATTAGTCTCATCTACCAATCCAACTAAGTACCTATTTTTGGCTTTTGGAATTTTACTGGGTGGAAGATTGGAATCTATACTGTTGTCAATTCAAATCTGGTATGTTTAGTAAAAAATAAGCTAGCTACTCGTTCAGGAAACTTTCTGTGATGTGCTTCAAAAAGCTGCATGAAAGGGTTTGGGGGATAAAAGGAAAATAATGATAAATGACCTTACAGCACAAACTCAGCTCTCTCTGGCCTCTCAGCAAGCTTCAGGGCTTCATGCATGCCTGCAGCTGAGAGCTTCCGGTTGATGTTCCGGTACTGGCACTGAAGCAGGCTGCGATAGGTGGTCCTCAGGTCCCGGTTGAAGAAGGCATATATAAAAGGGTTAATGAGAGAGTTTGCATAGCCTAGCCACAGAAATGTCCTCTCCACCCACAGTGGGATGCAGCTGCAGGAAGTGCCACAGATGAAGGGTCTGGCTGTCGAGAGGAGGAAAAATGGCAGCCAGCACACGGTAAAGGCCCCGACGATGATCCCCAGGGTGGTGGCTGCTTTCTGTTCCCGCTTAAAGATGGAGATGTTTTTCCTTTCATGCTTGAGGAGTCTCGAAAGGTTTGCACACTCTTCCACCTCCTTCTGGAGCTTCACTATGCCATTCAGGGCGATGACGCTGTCTGGCTCCACTCGAGGGAAGCCAGGGAATTTGTGTTTGGCAGCACTCTTCCTGGCAGCCTTGTAAATCTGGTAGTACATGAAAAGCATGACGGACATGGGGATATAAAATGCCACTGCGGTAGAGTAAATCGTGTAGCCAAAGTCCTGGCTGATCAAGCACACCTTATCGTCATTTACATTCTGAGCCCATCCAAAGAGTGGAGGTAAAGTGATGGAGGCAGAGAGAAGCCAGACGGAGAGAATCATCTTTGCCATGCATTTCCCATTTTGCCTCACAGGGTAGGTGAGGGGCCTTGTAATTCCAAGGTACCTAGTGGAGAGATGGAAAGATAACAGGTGAACACTGTGATCATAACTGGTCAACTGAGCAAGTCCTGCCAGCCAGGTACCAGCACCAGTCCTCACAACAGCCCTTCTAGGTAGGCATCATTACTTCCATTTTGCAGAAAGGTAAACTAAGCCTCTGAGATGTTACCTATTTTATTCCAGGTCACAAAGAGGCATTGCCAGATTGTAGCCTGAGAGCCCTCTGGCTCTAAAGTCAGCCCATGCTTTTTGCATGCCTTACAGTTTTTCACAATCCATGTAGTCAACAAAGTTTAAAGAGCTCCCCCTCCCCATGACCACAGCCACCAAAATCAGCCAGGACAACATATCAACTCTGATGTAGGATGCTGTGACACATTCTCAAAACAACCAAGGTCTACCACACTCTGGTATTATACACCCAGTGATCACCCCAGCTGTCTTAATTTAGGCCAGCTTTTAATTCATTTTAGCTTTCTCTTTGCATTACAGCAAAAGCATTTCTTTAAGATCACACAGATTTGTGAGATAGTCTGGGAATCCTAGAGTGTTGAAATGGTTAGCAGAAAATGATATTATTATTATTATTATTTACCCACAGAAAAGTCTCACACAACAGCAATGTCAGAGGAACAATCTAAGAAATAAAAACATTCTGCCTTCTCTCTCCAGTTCTTAGGAGAATCACAAAACAAGGGTACAGTTCTGCAAAATATTAGGGAAATCCAGTATTTTCTCTGTGCTTAGTTCTATACAGGGAATAAATATGACTCCAAGTCTGTGATCAAGGATTTGTAATGCAAACAAATCTGTGCACACAGAGAAAACATATACAAAAAAGATATTCTGCCAAATGCTTAATATTTTTCAGCTTTTCAAACCTGTGTTTTCCTCATATTTAATAGCCTTAGATTCTATTTTGGGAAGCTTGGAGCACTTGAGAAGCAAAGACAGAAAAAAAGATGGTCATTTTGTTGTTGTTTTTACTTCCTTTATGTATATAAAAGATACATTATTGAAACATAAAAAGGAAAGATACAGAGAGTCCCTAACTTACCAACAGGTTATTTTCTGAAAGTTGGCCAGTTAGTAGGTTAGAACTTAAAAAACAATTTCTGCTAGAAATATCTTTTAATACTTAAATTATCCCACAAAAGTCCAAAATCATACTTTCACAATGAAAATTAGCATCACTATAACACTTACAAGAAGACAACATCGAAATACAGTAAAAAATGATGAGCCAGATGTTCTTACTCCTCTAGAATTCTTTCCTTCAACAAGTATTAGTGGAGCTCGTTTTACTGGACAGGTACTGTTCCAGGTGTTGGAGATATGGCAGTGGGTAGAAGAGATGAAAATCCTGCGTGCAGGCAAATGGAGAAATCATGTCGGATGAAGGGGAAAATCCGACACCATGGTAATGTTGAAGGGGACTTCTGATCCCTTCCAAGGACTCATGCGTTCACAATGCTGGGTTCTTCATTTGCCAACTTCTGCCTTCCCTTTTCCTTAATAAAGTTGACCTACAATCACTACCCTTAGACTTATCAGCTGTAGTTAGGATTATGATGCTGCTCCCAAACAGAATGAGGGAAGAGAGAGAGGGAGGCTTTCCTTAGAATGCAAGAACAAGAGTTAAGAAAAAGGCAGGCAGTGTGGGGGAAAGTAACTCAGAAGAAGAGAGGGAGGGAAGGAGGAAGGAAGACGGAAAAGGGAGGAGGGAGGGAAAAGGAAAATCTAGTCCTTGTTCTCAACCAGCTCCTGTGAATGTGGCCTTTTGGGCACCTTCCTTATTCTCCCAGCAGCCTTTCCCCAGACCTGCACTTTGATTTCTTGTCACTCTTGGTCTACAGCCCCATTGTAAACTGCCTGCTCTCAAGCCTGAATGTGGCATCCAAGACATGAGCCCAGGTCGGTACCTCAGGTTCACCAAGGAGTGAAGTCCAGCAGGTCGAGGTTACTGTACACAATTCCCCAGGGGGCCACCAGATGGCATTGTCAGACCATTTTACACCTACTTACTGGGATTGGGGGTGTGTCGATAGGGTAGATGGTTGATGTAACAGGTGTTATGTTGGAAAAATTAAGAAAAAAAAAGAAGTTATATTTTATTTGTGGAGAATTAAAAAAATTAGCAAGCCTGGAATTCACAACCTAGTAAACTCCTATTTTGAGGAAATCCTTTTTCTCTCCCATTTCTTCATACTTTCCTTACTAGAACTATGCCTTCCCACTTAAGTAACAATTCCATCTTTTTCCTGGTTAAGTAAATAATATAGAATTCACAAAGATTAATCCTGAGAGATTAATAAAGTACAAATAACATTTCGGAATATTAATCTCATTTAAATGGTATGTTTATTCATTCTAGTACACTTAGGCTGACACATTATATTTCAATCATGGTGATTAGTCTACATTCAGCCTGCCCTGGATGTACAAATTATATTTCATAAACTCTGTTCTACTTTAGGCACCATTCTCTAATTATTTCAAGACATCCTACAATAAGATAGTTATATTTACTTCTTAGGCCCCTCACTTCCACCTGGTGAGACATTGATAAGGCTAAAATCAACTGAAATATTACTAGAAAAAAAAATGAGTGCTCACTGAAGTGTCTGGATATAAAATAAATAAACAAAAGTTAATAGTTTATGTTTTAACCATTAACAATCAGAAAATAGTGTGGAGATGATGCAATTAACAACAATTAAAAACATCTAGGAAAAAGCTTTTTTAAAATAATACCTAGGGCCTATATGGAGAAAATACAAAATGCTACTGAGGTACATTTTTAAAAATACTTAAATGCATGGGGGAAAAACTTGTTTTTTCAATAAGAAAATCTAGTATTATAAAAGTACCTATTTCCCCTCAATCTATAAATACTATATAACCCCAAATGAATAAACTGGCATGGCTTTTGTTAATGATTTTAAATCTCACCACCTCAACATGCAAAAATGTACAGATAATCTGAAAAAGAATAATGAAGGGATACTTTTCCTATTAAAAAAAAGCCACAGAAATAAAAGTCCCCCCAAAATTATTCAAAAAGATGTCAATAAAACAGAATAGTTTCAAATTGATTCAAATATATAAGGGAATTCAATATAAAAGGGGTCACTTTAAATCACTAGTAAAAAATTGGATATTCATAAAGTCTCACAACTGTTCAGCAATTGAGGTAAAAGTATTACTGGCTTCTTACCTTTCTTTTGATTAAATATAAATCCCAGATGGATCAAAGATTATCATGTAAAAAAAATTAAACCCTAAGACTATGAGAAAATATTGGCAAGTATTTCACAATCCTGAGATGACAAAGGCCATTCTTAACTATAATACAAAAACTTGAAAGTATAAAATGAAACATCAATAAATGTTTGTAACAAACAAAATAAATGAGTGACATTTATAAGCAACATTTAGTTTAATTCAAAAATCATTCTGTGAAGAGTTAAAAGTCAAATCATAAACTAGAAATCTAAATGGCAATATCACAATATTCACAGATTTCCTACAGGTCAATACAAAACACAACCATCCCATAGTAAGAACTTCATAGTTTGTAAAAGAAAAAGGAAAAAGCCAACCATCCCTCAAAAAATATTGAAGCAACTGATCAAAGAAGAAAAACTAATGGCCAAAGCCAGGTGCCGTGGCTCATGCCTATAATCCCAGCACTTTGGGAGGCCAAGGTGGAAGGATCACTTGAGGCCAGGAGTTTGGGACCAGCCTAAGCAACATAGCAAGACGTCATCTCTACTTTAAAGACAGAGAGAAAGAAACTATGACCAATAAGCACTTAAAAATATGTAGAACTTCATTAATAATCAAAGAGATGCAAATTTTAAAACGACACATTTTTATCATTTGCCAATATTTAAGAAAGACCAAATCCAATATTAGAAAACTGTGAAAAAGCAATCGTTCTATTAGGTTGCTACTGGAAGTGTCAACTGAAATAATTCTGGTAGACAGTTCGGTAATTAATCAGATATCTAGGATTTTGTCTTAAGAAGATAATTGTACAGATGCAACATGACTAATGTGCAGAGATGTTGCTAAACACATAATAGAGGAAAAAGGATGCAATCTAAGTATTATCAATAGGAGATTAGATATGGTACACATATATATATACTGTATATAATATGTATAATGCAACCATTAAAATGATGATGTACATCTGTATTTACTAACACAGAAACAACAGAAGAGTGCATTAAAAATGCATTGATAATAGAATATCGTATAACATATTTTATTAACCTTTCTACATAAAACTGGGTGTATGCCTGTGTGAGCACGTCTGTGTATGCACAGATGTCTACAAGAATATTAACTAAAAATATCAATAGTAGTTCTACCTGAGATGTAGAAATTTTAATGATTTTAAATTTTCTTTATATTTTTCTATGCTTGATATTTTTGTAGTGAGCACGTAAAAAACCCCACTACTTTAAGAACAAAATAAAAGATTTAAGAGGATTCTGAGATTCCTAAATTACTAAATGATTCTGGCAATAGAAACAATCTGGTTCATAAAACCTTTAGAGAGCTGATAATTAAATCTTATATTGTTTTATTTGATTAGTTTGTCAAAAGTGCTTTTTTATAATACATTCATAAGTTCATACAAAAGAAAAAGAACTCATTGGCATTTAAAATCCCATAATTACTATATAAAGTAATATTGGTATTCAGGGAAGTGTTTCTCTAAATTATACATTCATTCTTCCAAATCTTGTATCGGATAAATCTTACCTTCAAGGGAGAGAAAGAAAAAAAGAAAAAAAAACTAGATTGATTTTTAATATTCCTTAATTATGCATGTTTAATATTTATCACACTAACATTTTATCCTCACTGTTAATTAGAAAGCAGGATGCTTATAAAGTCTTCAAAATTTTACTGTAAAATGCAAACAAATGTTAAAGTACAGTAAATCTCGGAGACAAAAGCACCAAAGTATTATATAATTGAGAAATATAT